ATAGTGCAAAAAAATTATCAAATTTCGCTAAATTATGCGGGGTACATAAAACCCCGGGGACAGACATAATATGAACTCGCTTGAGTTGATTTCCTGTTAAGTTGATCTTTTTCTCGAGTCCCAGCATCTTTTCTTCTGTACAGATTCTATTCCAAAGGTTAAGTTAAAACTATGGATGAGCTGATCTTTTTTTTTGTTTCGTCTTAGTAAGAGTTTTGCGGCACTTGCAACACAATAAAGTCATATACGTGCCAAAGATTAGAGGTGTTACAAGAGAGTAACAAACACAAAAAAGAAGGAGGGGAGATAAAGACGACACATGTTTGACAGGAAAGAAGAAGCAAACCACACTAGAGCACCCGCCAACCACCCACACCTCTTCTTCTTTACAGATCCAAAGGATTAAGTTGAGTTGAACTTCAGATCAGTTGGTGGTTTCTTTTCACTTCCCGGACGACATCAACGCATCCGTAGTTGACTGTATATGATTAGGTATTTCCACGTGAAGACTACAGGGGGGAAAAACGACTGTAGTCACAAACTGAAAATCGGCCAGGGTACCAATTTTGCACGTTTGTTGACTCAAACTGATAACTCTATACATATTTCTGTTCAACTGTTGGGTTTATTATTGTCGTTAGATTTCCCATTCAGCTACACTTAACAATAAACAACCAGTCAAACAAAGTTATGAGTCCACAATTTTTTTAACTTGGCACCCTCCCAATTCCCCAGTTGTGACTACAGTCGTTTTCCCCCTGCACTCTTCTTGTAAAGTTCAACAAGCCTTCTCTCAAATCAAACAAACAACCAGATAGAGATAATATAGCATTCATGAGGCAAGTTTATTCAGCGTGTTTGATCATTGAGTACACAAATACATGTACCCTAGTCGCTGATCAAGAGAAATTATGAACCTTTTTGGGGTTTTTTTGTTTGTTTTTATAAGGTTTTCAGCACTTGCAAACACATTTAAATCAAAGAAGTGCAGTAGATTAGGTGTTACAAGAGAGTAACAAACACCAGAAAAAAAAAGGAGGAGAGATAAGGACAATACGCATAAATGTTTGATTGATATGAAAGAAGGAGCAAACCACAGCAGACTAGCAAATCACACCACAGCACCCGCCAACCTACCATACAAGGAGGAACAAAAGTAGGTACATGTAAATTACTTGTCAATGTACACGATACATAGAACATGAGAGAAATCTGTGGAGAGTCTGAGTGACATGACATGTCAGCGACACGTCAGACGGAGGCAAAAATAGCCCGGACAAGTCGTACAATGTGCTTCTTAGTGTAAGACTGACATATCGTTACTCTAGAACTACAAAGTTCTATCTGCTCACTAACCTGCTTTGGACAAATTTGACATCTAAAAAATTTTGAGTTTCACAAACATGTTAGGTTTTTCAAATGCAATTCTTTGAATATCTCGATAACGACTCCAAATAATCTTGCGATTTTGATAGAGCAGATAGAACATTTGGTTCCTGACCCCATGGTCTTAGTAACTCAAAACAGCCAAAAATGTCAGATAAAACTATGCAATTCTTCACTAAGATAGTGATATGCAATTTTGAAAGGAGATGTATGACCAAGCCTTACACCGAGCAGTGGAAGTACGTGCCAACTTAAAATGTGCAGCTTCTGTATCTGCTGTATGCCATTAATAGGTCGCTTTTAAGCACAAGGTTGCTATCCCGAAAAATGTTGTTTTGAGAAAACTTTTGTTCAGTTTCTTTAAAATACAAGGAGAGTTTCCTCTATTATCAAACAAATACATGTATACACACCAATGAAACTAAACTTCTCCTATAGGTAGGTCAATGCCCACTTTTAGTGCAGGTCAAGATTTCTGGAAACCCCCGAAATCTGGGTTAGCCCGCTTGTCCTTAAAAGCGGCCAATTATAAATCTTAATTCTGAGAACAATATAATGTACATAAACAATGATTCATACTACACTCAGCTGCCTGAAGAACGGAACAATAAATCCACAACAAATCAACTTCCATAGCTTGCTTGCAACTAAAAAAACAAAATTGCCTGCAGCATAACAACAGAAATTCCCCGATCAGGACCAAATTTCGCCAGAGGGCGACAAAGAGACCCACCACCCCAACAGCAACAGGAGGATTTAGTTTCAGTAAGGTTTTACGGCGCTCACAACTGACATTAGGTCATATGAGCGCCAAGGGGTAGATGTCAGCAGAGAAGTCCTTACAGGGAATCAGACTTACTCTGCTCACCTCTCTAGCTTCAAAAACTCAATTTGACAAGTCTCCAGATATGTATGCTTCCAAAACTGGTCATGCAGAAATGCGTTACTCTGCAATCGACAACAGGACTGAGATCAGACCATAATGTAGCTTTTAGGCTTTACCACTTTGAAAGAGCACCCGCCAACCACCCACAAACGTAGCTTTACTTGACCACTTTGACAAATACCATTGCGAAATATCACGTCAAGGAAAAGGGCAAGGCTGGGGCAACAAACGAAGGAAACAACAAAACTTGACATTTTGTCAGATACGCTGTTATGTCATGGCACAGCAAGCAGACTAGACCCTCTCGGTCTACACTGCTTGGGACCCTCAGTGCAACGTATGCTGCTCATTCTTCTACAAAAAAAAGCCAAGGGAACACTACGATCCAGAGAAAAACTTCCCACGCTTTACCGTACGAGAAACAAACAAATCTGTCTGTGCATAACACGCTCATTCTGCACATACTGATCACATTTTTGGCTTTATGAACATTTTTTTCCCCTTTTACATTATTTATACTTCATTCACATAATAACAACATTAAAAAGATATACACAAAGCAGACCACACATCTCTTACTATACAATCATGAAATATAAAGTATTATAATAAAGATGCCGTTTTCAGGATACATTTTCAAAAGATCAGAGAAATGGTCATCCCTCAGAATATCACAGCTCCAAATATAGGATGACATCATTACAAATATGCTGTTGACTTCTGTGGTTGTTGTTATTTCCTGTTTCTTTCATATCCACAATAAATGTATTATCATTAAATTACAGAAAAAGATTAGGTAATAAACAATTAGACCTGCAACAACAACACTAAAATACATCAAACATTAACTGTATGTAACATGAACATCATCCGCCAACTGTTCAGATTAATAAGCCAAAAGTAAAAAAAAAAATTATTGCAGTTTTTTAAATCCTGGGTATCAGTTACAAGAGCTCGAGAAAACATTTTGTGGAAATTCAAACTCAGAATGTAGCCAGTAACAAGATACAGTAAGTAAAAAGTAAAGTTGTTCCCGCATCTGATCCGAACATTGGCAATTGCTGTGTTAGTGAGACAACTTCCTGGGTCTTCGGCATAGTATAGGTGGTACAGTTCAAAGAATTGACAGAGTAGTTTCTCTTTCCTGAAAAGCTTTGCCTCCTGGTGTTAGACCAGCAGAACGGTGTGCTTACAACGTCCACTCTGCTGTAAACCGACAAAATGCCTTTTCTTCTTCAGAGCAGTTTCAAGAAAAAGAGCATTTTTTCGTCAGCGTAATCATTCGAAAATAGAGTCATTCCAAAATCTGAATTCTAATTCATTCAAAAACTAGTCACAGTTTCACCTTGTTTTTTTTTTTATCACACAAGTAGGGCAACTGATCAGGCTTTTGTTTAGCAAATAAAAAATGTTGGTCCCAAAATGAAAAAAGCTTACAGCAGCACTGTTGTCACTTTATAGCGGAGAAGAACCTTTGAAAAACAAATGGACAACTTTACACGAGGATTTCTCTCCCCTGAACACAAAAGAAGAACTTGAGAGGCTCACATACATACGAGCTGTCACAAAAGTTTTTGAACACATAGTTTTTACACCCCAATCAACAAAATTTGGACGGCTTTAACTCTGCCTGTCAGGGTCAACCTGAGCTGAAAGGGGCACAACGTCCCTGTAGAAAGACCCAAATATTGATAATAATTCTCCCCACGCAGGATTCAAACCCTGGTTCTCTGCCTGCAACAGCAAAACACCCAACTATTACAGGAGACAAAACACTGGCACTCACAGTCAACTGTGTCTTTGGCTACAACGGAAGACGGTACATCATCAGTTTATCTTACCTGCCACGCAACAAACGATGGACAGCAGAGTCCACTACACACAACACTGACGATAAACCAGACTAGCTTAGCCTGCAGAATATACATCAACATAAACCCTAGCCTCCTTAATGATTAGTTTTAGTAAAAGAGTTTTACAGCCTTTGCAACATTATTAGGGTCATATAAGTGCAGAAGGTAGGAGATGTCATCATACATACACGCTAGGAACACTACATGTTCATAAAGCCAATAGCAACATTGGATTTTATCATTTTGACTCATGGAAAACTGTCTAACAAAGATATATGACAAGTGCAGCACTTTTTTCTTCTTCAAATGCTAAACTTCAATTTTGTATAAAATAATAAAGGTTAATGTAAACATTTGGTCCCTGTGAGTTGTATATAAGGTGATGACACAGCATTTCATGTCTATAAAAAAGGACCATAAGTCACCAACATAATCTGGAACAGATCGGCTCTTATGCAAAACATATAAATCTGAATAAAGAACACATTTCACTGATGATAGAATTCTTCCAAGACAAGACGGACATCATAATATTAGTGACTGCACACTGCATACTTGTGAATCAAGGCAATGGAAGACATGACCGTCAAAAAAAGAACACACGGTCGAGGAGGTACGGTACAAGAAATGCAACATGAGACAATACACGTGAAAAGAACGATATGTGTCACAGTGTGGTGGAATCAGGTGCTCGTCAATTTTCAGGCATATGGAGTTCTTGGTATCATCTCATTGGCCTTGCTTTCGATTTTAAAAAATATCCATTTATCTTGAAAAGAAGTTGTTATATTTGAGATTGAAAGAGGTGGGGTCGCCTGCTTTCAGAGGTAAAATTAGTGAGAAAATAGGCGTCAAAGTTTGGTGACTTCCATAGCTTAAGAGTCCTTGGAAACGACAAAATTACATTTTTGTGCCTTTAATCAATGTTTTTCCATAAAATCCATACAGAAATTTATTACTTAATTGACATACAAAATTTTGAGCGAAAAAATAAAAGTTAAAATATAAAATGTCAAACTGGTGGAAAAACGCCGATTTCTCGGATTTCATTATTTTGACGAGCGCCTGACTTCACCAGGATGCCTCACATACCGTGATCAAATCTAAGGGGGGTCTCAACTGAACAAAACCTCAAGTACAATACAAAAATATCCGGCAAAACTTGGAGAACACATCGTTTGATTCCTTTGCTGTCCTTGAGCTGTGACAAACTTCTGAAAAGACGTCTGGTCTGATTAAAAGGAGGAGAAAGATTCTTTGACGATGGGTGGACGAATACATCGGAGCGCTATCTCTGGCTCTGGCTATGTCGCCGGCAGAAGTCCGACCCGCCCGCGGCCGGCATACGGCACTGAGTCCCGGCGACCGTGTTGGAGAGACAGCGAGAGGAGACGGACGGAGTGGACGACCTGGGGAATACACGAACATTTATTTTACATATTCCGTTAAGCTTGCTTTTAAGTAGAGTTTTTACGGCGCTCGCAATTGCAGAAGGTTATATGAGCGCCAAGGGGTGGATGTGAACACAGAAGTCTGTACAGGGATTCAGGCTTACTCTGCTCACCTCTCTAGCTTCACCAGCACAAAGTCTGCTTCGACTATCAAGGCACCCCAGAAATAGCGGGTCACAAGAGTGTGACAAACATACAAAAGAAGTACAGGAAAAGTGACAATAGTAAGGATTAGGTAAGAAAAAGCAGCAGTTCCCTGTTGTAGATCAGGCACAGTTATGAGCGTGACATGAATCAGCCCATTTACAATTCTACTGTGCTTGAGCGAGAAATGTCCCCCCTTTGGGAATGGCCTAAAGACACTTCAGTCAGTGGCACTGCCCTGGGGGGTCTCATGCACACACACACATGTACGCACTCAAAGTCAAACACACACTCACACACACAAACAGACACACACATACACACATCATACACACACAGACACACATCATACACACAAACACATACACAAACACTCACACACATACACAAACACTCACACACATACACAAACACACTCACACATCCACACACACCCAGACAACACCAGTTATATTGTTCACCACCAAACGGAAGTTGTACAAACCTTGAGTCCCTTGGCACTGGGGTAGACGCCCGGGACGACGACCTTGAACCACGACCTGTGATAAGTGGGTCAAGGACAGTCCTCCTTGGTGGAGTGGGCAACTGGGGGGGGGGGGAAGAAATAATTTGTTTGCTTGTTTTGGTAGAGGTTTTATGGTGCTCGTAACTTCATAAGGTCATATGAGTGCCAAGGGATGGATGTCAACAGAGAAGTCCTTACAGGGAATCAAATAACAATAATAATAATAACAACTACAACACCAGTTGGTCCATCATGAACCGATGATGACTGTTAACATCTTAGTAGGATGAGAAGTTATTTATAAGCTTGCTCACTATAGCAGTAAGTTGGCATGATAAAAAGAGCAAAGTAACAGAAATGTAGCAAGCTGCTTGTAATGATCACAAACATAAATAATATAAATATGTGAGGCAGCTTGGTGAAATCAGGCGCTCGTCAAAATAAAGAAATCGCAGAAAATGGCATTTTCCAACCAGTGGGGCAGTTTTTATCAAATATGTAAATTTACAAACACATTTCCGTGTCGATTTTCGCGAAGAACATTGATTGATCAACAGGGCCAAACATGTCAATTTGTCATTTCCAAGGTCTCCCAAGCTTCGGCAGTTGCCAAAATTTGCGGCCATTTTCTCAATAATTATACCTCTGCTACCAGGCGACCCCTACCTCCTTTTAACTCAAATAACTCGACTTGTGTTAGTTTTAGTTTTAGTAGAGGTTTTACGGAGCTCGCAACTGCATTAGGTTATATGAGTGCCATAACTCGACTTGTATTTAGAATAGACGGGTAAATCTTTCACCATATGCAAGGCAAATCAAAAGGCCATAAGATTATACCAATAACTTCATATCCCCAAAAATTGACGAGCACCTGACTCCAACGAGTCGTGACACATATGCACTAGCTCGTGGTAGACTACACAACGCCCCAACCAGAGCTTCAGGCCAGCCACTCACCTCTGTCCGACTAGCGTCTAGCAAACGGCTGCTGCTGTTTAAAAACGAGGCGTACGTCGCTGGGGGTGTGACCGGCTCATCGCCACTGTCACTGTGTCCGTCGCTGTGTCGGTCGTCGTGTCTCGACGGACCCACGTTGTGTCGGGACGGACCTATGCTGGTGTCTCTCAGGGCCGTGCCGTTGGCAGTCGGAGCGTATGAGGCGTTCAGGTGTCCTGAAACTAAACGTCATTCTACATGAGTGCTTACCAACCTTTCCATAGCCAGTGTCAACTTTCGAGACATTTATGAGGCTAACATTTTTATATCACATAAACTACAAGTATTTCCAGATGAAGAATAAATAACCCAGACCCCCCCATCACCCACCCACCTTTCACAACCCAGATGATTCTATCGCCCACTGAAATTACCAAAGCGTCCATTTGTGGATGATACAGTCCAGGTAGACAATCACTGATCTAAACAATTATCTCATGAAAAATGTGTAGGTCTGAAACTAAATATGCAACGGTTCTGTGCAACTTCCAGACCAAAAACGAAAAACTGAAATGCCATATTGAGCTAAATCAGCTAGTTTCGGGGCAAAAATTGAGACAAGAGAGAGAAACGAAGTGGGAGAGCACATCGCACATCCGAAGTCTGGTGAGAAAAAAAAAAGAGAATAACAACTTGAAAAAAACCAAATCTGTTTGAGTTGATTGAAGTAAGTGGCAAAGTCTGTATTAACAGTCTTAACCCCCCCCCCCCCCTCCCCACCACCCACTCATCCTTCACTACCTAGCTGATTCTACCCCCCCCCCCCCTATACACACACCATTTGGTTCATTTAGGAGAGGGGGCAGCTCAACCCTGCCTTCCAGAGCCAATTTATAAGGAGTCGGCTAGAACGTCCTAGCAGACAGAGAGAGAGAGAGATACACGACCACAACACACATTCAGTCTCAGGAATCAAACTCCTGTCTTTCGCTGGCAGCAGCCAAGAGCCTAACTGTTACACCACCACAGACGCCAGTTTCGCTTAAGATTCCCTTGTCAGTTCCACCCCGACATGTCTGTGGAGACAGGGCGAGTCCGTTTACCTCCTCGCGAGAACCGCTGAAGCAGATCTAGCAGAGTTCTCATTTCGTCAGAAGACAACGGACTCCCAGTAGCGCTCCCTCGTTGTGGGGTCCCTCCCTGAGAGTGAGAGAAATAGCGTCTCGTCCGGTCAAATCGTCTGCCGGAGTATACAACCAGTTTGAAACCTGCAGAGGAAACACAGCATACGGTTATGACTGTTGTGTTTGAGCAAGTTTCAGTTCAGATTTAGTGAGAGTTTTATGGCGCTTGCAACACAGTAAGGTCATAGAACTGCCAAAGATTAGAGATGTTACTAGAGAGTAGCACACAGGCAATGTTGATGATGAGGATGATGATAATGATAAAGAAGATGATGATGGTGATGACGATGATGGTGATGATGATGATGAAGATGACAATGATGATAAAGAAGATAATGATTATGATGAGGAAGCCCAAGAGGCGAAACGTTGAGCTGCGTCTATTCAACAAATTTTTATCTTTTTATATTGTTATGTTATTTCGTCTGAAATTCAAACATGACTCTCCCTCCTACTCTGCTTATCAAACAATGATGATGATGATGATACTGATAATGATGATGATGATGATGATGATAATGATAATGATGATGATGACGATGAAAAGATGATGATGATGATAAAGACTATGATGATGATGATGATGATGATGATACGGATAATGATGACGATGATGATGTTGATGATGTTGATGATGATGATGATGATGATAGGGACGATGATGATGATGATAAAGACGATGATGATGATGATGACGAAGATGATGATGATGATGATGTTGATGATGATGATGATAAAGACGATGATGATGATGATAAAGACGATGATGATGATGATGACGAAGATGATGATGATGGCAATCATCATTCCATGGCGAAGAGAACCCACCAAAGTACAAGGTACACAGGAACACGGTGAGCCCGGCAAAGTCCAGGCTGTGGTCGTAGTTGAGCTCGGCGGCCACGTTGCCCACGATGACCACCATCATGGCCAGACGCACCGGCAGCGACACCTGCAGGAACGTGGCAGTCACGGCCAGCAGGAAGAAGTAGGCGATGTGCAGCAGGCAGCACGACATGGCTGATAGCTTGTCGTCTGAGGGGTGGGGCAGGGCAGGGAGGGGCAGAGGGGAGCGGAAGAGAGAAATGTTTATATGTGTGAGGCAGCGTGGTGAAATCAGGCGCTCTTCAAAATAAATATATCAGAGAAATAGGCATTTTTCTGGACGTTGGGGTTTTTTGGGTTTTTTCCCCCGAATTTATATTTTTAGCTCAGCACTTTTTATGTCTATTTAAAAACACGTTTCTGTGTGGGTTTTCAAGCCCATTTACAATTCTACTGTGCATATGAACATGTTATTATCCCCCCTTTGGGAACGGCCTACAGACTTCAGTCAGTAGCACCGCCCCGGGGGATTATTGAGACACGCGATTAAAAAAAAAAAAAAGTAATTGGCTAAACGACGACCCCAACATACCAGCACCGTCGAGAAGCTGTGAGATCCAGTTGATGCGGTCGTCCAGGTGTTTCTGCATGTAGGTCACGGAGGCCATGAGGTACGTGATTGTTCCGTTCATCTTGCTCAGGTTCTCGGCCAGCCCCCCGTACTGAGAGTCCAGCTCCTCGTACTTGCCCAGCAGTCGCTGCAGGTTGTTGTCTGCACAACATACACAAACGTCGGCATGATAATGATAATGGTAATAATAATAATAATAATGATAATAATAATAATGATAATAATAATAATGATAGTAATAATAATAATTATAATAATAATAATAATACTGTGGTCTAATTCGCTGTCATTACCAGACAAGCCAGAAGCACGTGAAATAAATGAACAACTCAGTGTAGCCTAGTGAGTGTAGGGGAATAAGGGAGCACGGGGGGTATATAAACAGACGCGAAGGTTGAAACGGCCTTCCGAGCTACGACTTAAATCTAAGCTGAGCAGGGATCGACGCTACTGGTGGGTTGACACCGTTCCCCCTTGAAACAGTGAGTATTGAAAACAACGTAGATAGACTACGGAGTAGAATCTAGGATTAGATAGCACTTATCATCTCATTACAAATACAGCAGTCTCTACAGGTTGCAGTCTGCACAACACACACAAACGTCCTAATGATAATGATAATGGTAGTAATAATAATAATAATAATAATAATAATAATAATAATAATAATAATAATACAGCAGGCTCTGCAGGTTGCAGTCTGCACAACACACAAACGTCCTCATGGTAATGATCATAATCATAATAATAATTAATTATTATACAGTAGTCTCTGCCTAAGATTCCTGTGCTCGGGAGCAAGGAAAATGCAGGATCCAGGTGAACAGGATCTTAGCCGACCCACCAAGGGGAGAACCCACTGTGATTCATGTTCAGGCCCACAACCGGATAAATGGTCCCCCTTTCCTCTAAAACGAACTGAGGTGACCCCTGGGTGGGTTTATGACTTATGATGGCAAGCAAAGAGTGGTCAACCTTGATGACCAATCACAGCGGCATGAGATATGACATTTTCACATAATATTATCCTATCGTGAGTCTCATGATCTACGATTATCCAGTTTGCTCCTCCCCTTTACAAGTCGAAAATGTATAGCTTTCCATCTCTGACCAAGTTCCCCCGTCTTTACATTATCTTATACACACGATCTATCTATCTATCTATCTATCTATCTATCTATCTATCTATCTATCTATCTATCTATCTATCTATCTATCTATCTATCTATCTATCTATATACACACATATATATATATATATATATATATATATATATATATATATACTGAAAAAAAAAAAGCTTTCACTGTTTTAATTACGATCATTTACATCTCATAGTTCAAACAGGTTTCTGTCTCTGCTTTAGGTAATAACAGTTCAGAGATCTAAAGTTTTTTCACACTTTGCCATCATATTTCGGGGAAAATCCAAAACACCAACTGGGCGGTAAATATCGCCAATCGGCGAGACGAGGCGGCAAAGTGTTGAACGACATCGACTCACCTAGTTTTCTGACGGAGGCCTCCGTGTTGTCTTGAATGTCCTTCAGATCTTTGAGGATTCTTTCATGTTTTTTATGCTCGCTGCTCTCCCTTTGTTTGATCTGCTCGGCTGTGAGCTCTGGTGGGGAAAAAAAGATAGAGAAATCAAAAATGTTATATATTCCACACACACACAAGAAAAAACTTTTGTTGGTGTTGTTACACCCTGTAAAAGTAAGTGGCTTTAACTTTCTCATTTTAAGGACTGGACACTTCAATGCCCAGCCTGACACTGTCTCATTAATCTAAAGCCGATGAGGAACATTTTTTGTTGTAGTAAGAGTTTTACAGCATGAATAATAAGGAGGAGAGATAAAAATGATAGATATTAGGAAAAAAAGAATGAGCAGAATATTCCAGAAGAGTTATATCACTGACACAGTACACAGACAAAAACAGGTGTATCCCTAAAAATACAGAGAAGGAAAAAATAACCCTGTGATAAAACTTTGAACAGATCACAGGGTTCGTTTTAGTTTAGTTTTAGTAAGTGTTTTACGGCACTTGCAACACAATAAGGTCATAAAAATGCCAAAGATTAGAGGTGTTACAAGAGAGTAACAAACACAAAAAAAAGAAGGAGGGAAGATAAAGACGATGGATCATTGTTAGGAAAGAAGGAGCAAACCACACCAGAGTGCCCGCCAACCACCCACGAACACAGCGCTCAAGCTAATTGTTCTAAAAAGACAACGTGAGACTGAACTGCCTCACATATTACCCACAGCAGGTGGTGATCCTGGAGAGAAACGCATTCTACTGTGGGTCATGGGTTGGCACAACAGAGACATGATCAATCGCAACAACTGACTCCTTTGTCTCGTAAATCATTCAGCCACACACATTTGGTTACTTGATTGGATAATAGGCATCATCGAAGGCGGTACAATGCCATAGCTGCCCCTCCCTCTTCTCCAGGATCCACGAAAGGGTTGGCTTGCTGATCGAGTCAGTTACACATAAACACGCACAACAACAACAACCACCATTACAACAACAACAACCACCAACACCACCCCCACAACAAAAACAACAACAACAATCTTGTTTTAGTAAACGTTTTACGGCACTTGCAACACAATTAGGTCATATAAGTACCGAAGATAAGAGGTGTTACAAAGAGAAAAAAACATAAAAAAGGAGGAGAGATCAGGACGATAGTTGTTTGATTGGAAAGCAGGAGCAAACCACACCAGAGCACCCGCCAACCACCCACCAACCACCACCACAACGACCACAACAGCAACAACAACCCCCACCACCACTACGAACGGCCAAAGTACACACCCAGCTTTTCTCGAATGTTTTCCGTCATGCTGGCCAGCTCCCGGTTCCCCGAAGCGATGAGAGCTTTCTCCTGCATGATCTCCTTCACGTTGCTGGCGATGTGGTTGAAGATGTCCTGGTGCGCGTCTCGCAGGGAGTGCTGCGTGGACAGAAGGTCTTGCTGACTCTCGTACAGTTTCCGCACCGTCTCCGCGGTCAAGGAATGCAGCTGGTCCTGTCCATCCTAAACAGATGAGCAAAAAATTAAGTTCAGTGTTTTATTTTTAGGCCCTCGGTACTACAACTGGGTGACTCGCTGTTCCATCAGAACAGAGAAAGATAAATGTCCAGAGGTCCTGTCATTTTATATCTTAACACTTGGCGGTCACTTGGTGAAAATTCTCCGTTCCGATCACCTGGCCCACTTCTGCGCCAGGCCCGAGAAGTCTGTTGCAGTCACTCTCCTGTCTGGGAGACCAGATGGGGTATTTTGTACTGCTGGCTGTGCGACTGCAAAGTGTTAAACACGCCCGATTGCAGTTGTGAAAAAAATCACGTTTACCAACACAACTACAGTAACCTTTCTGAAGTTGACCCATCTACTAACTAGAAACTGCATTTGCCCTTTCTTGTTTTCCTCAAATATAATAAATATTTGTTTGCCTGGGGTACTGACTGTATCCTCATATATATATAAAATCTTTGGTCCGTTCTAAACGTATCGGTGGGTAATAATAGCTTGCCGTTTTAAACCTATCATTTTCATGAACAAAATTCTAAGGAATGCACATGTTCTACAACATTTGCTGCAACAAAACAGAAATAGGCCTACAACTAGTAAGAGGTAATAAAAAGAAATGTCTGGGATTGAGAAAAGCCTTCAGCCTTGTGTCCATTCCACCAAACAGATATACCAACATTGCCACAACCCCTAACAATGACCCATCAATATCCTCTTGCAAACAAAACTCAGAGTTACACAAGGGACCTTCACAGCTTTCTTTTACAAAAGCAACCCCCCCCCCCCAGTTTGATAGAGATTCAAGGGGTATGTTTCTGTAAATAATATAACCTTTCTCACTGGAAGTGATTTCTTCAAAGAAACGGCTACTTTCACTTTCTGCTAAAGGCGACCAGTAATTGCCAGTCTGTCTTTGAGTGATAGCATGTACTACAAGTTGATGAACTATTATTTATGCATTGTTCTTTGTGACACAGTGAAGTGACTACCACGAGGAGACCGTTGAACATCTTCTCCTTCACTGCCTAAACCTGGCAGTTCTTCGACGCAAGCTCCTACACACACCTACAGACTTACAAAGCCTGCTCCACTCTGGCGTTGACCAGATGACGAGGACATGTGGTTACTTGAGGGAGGCATTGTGCTGTCAAGAGCGAAATGCTCGCAGCTACAGGGATTTGAAAACAACAACAGCAACATGTATTGTTCTTGCCACTCTAAGCCAAATTTATCCACAGGGAGTAATGAAGGTAGCTGCAGCAGCTCAAAGAGTGAACCCAACCACGCACCTACCCTAAGTTCGCACCTACCTTAAGTTCGTTCAAGGACTTGACTTGTTCTGAGGTGGCCCCAAGAAGCCTGTTCACAGTCTGCTCTGTCAGCCGGCGAAACTGAACCTGCTGTGTCGCGTAACACATGGCCCTGGCTCGGTTACCTGAAAGACGGGGGTGGGGGTACCTTTTTGTTTTAGTATGAGTTTTACAGCAGTTGCAACACAATATGGTCATATAAGTGCCGAAGATTAGAGGTATTACAAGAGAGTAACAAACACAAAAAAGAAGGAGGAGAGATAAGGACGACAGATGTTTGATAGAAATGTCCCTTTTGATCGACAATATCTGATAAAAATAAAATATCCCCTGAAGCTAAGAGATCTTTAGTGAGGTGTGGGTAGGGGGGGGGGGGGAGTGTAGCGATTCAGTTACTTACACAACACCTGTGCACATTAACAGTAAAAATACATTAGTTCTTCTTTTAGTTTTAGTGGAGTTTTTACGTCGCTCACAACTGCATGAGGTCATATGAGCGCCAAGGGTTGGATGTCAACAGAGAAGTCCTTACAGGGAATCAGACTTACTCAGCTCACCTCTGTAGCTTCAACAGCACAAAGTCTGCTTTGACTATCAAGGCACCCCCGAAATAGCAGGTCAAAAGAGAGTGACAAACATAAAAAGAAGTACTAGATGCAAAATGACGATAGTAAGGATGAGGAAAGAAAAAGCAGCAGTTCCCTGTTGTAGTCCAGCCAGCACAGTTATGAGCATGGCATTGATAAATCAGCCCATTTACAATTCTACTGTGCATAAGAACATGTTAATGTCCCCCCTTTTTAGTTTTAGTAGAGGTCTTACGGCGCTCGCAAATGCCTTAAATGGTCATATGAGCGCCGAAAGATTTGATTAGAGGTGTTACAAGAGAGTAACAAACATAAAAAAGAAGGAGGGGACATAAGGACAATAGATGTTAAATAGATAGGAAATAAGAAGCAAACCACACCAGAGCACCCGCCAACCACCCACAAAGTTTGTTTATTTGTTTGATTAAAGAGAGGCACATCGACAAAATGATGGTCATTTAGCGCTGGGAAAAAGTAAGACAGACAAACAGAATCAGAGGTACAGTAAAGAAGTAGGACCTACCAGTGGCGCCCTCTAACCACCCGCGGTAAAAAGTTGATGACTTACCAACAATTTGATAACTGTTCCAAGTCGTCCCATCCATTGACTTAGTACAGTCAGCCAGGCTCTTTGAAACAATAAAAAGGAAAAGAAAGGTTCACTTACCACAAGGCATAAATAAATTATATACAGTCAAAAATAGCTGATAAACAACACTTTCTTCCCCCCCCCCCCCCCCCCCCCCGAACTAAAAACCCTCAAACCCTTCACACACAAAAAACAGCCTCATCATGAGAATGAAGTGGATGCCAAACGTGAAAGTCAGGCATAAAGATGAACAAATGCCACATAAAAAACAAAAACAGGGACAAATTCTTTTCTTTGACAAAGAATCAAGGGCTGGACTCTAGAAGAACACAGAGAATCCTGTGAAAGATGAAACATATATAATGGAATGAAAAGTGTTAGTTTCAGTAAGTTTTACGGCACTTGCAACACAATAAGGTCATACAAGTGACGAATATTAGTGGTGTTGCAAGAGAGTAACAAACACAAAAAAGAAGGCAGACAGATAGGGATGATAGATGTTTGATAGCAAAGAAGGAGCAAGCCACACCAGAGCACCCACCAACCACCCAAAAATGAGAAGTAAAATAGGAAGAACAACTCCATGAGTAATTAAGAATGGAGTGGATGATATTTACTGAGAATAGTAGTAATAAACCATTTAATCTTTATTTTATCCTTTATCAACTACAATTACAATCAAAATTGTCCAAGATGACCACCCATTGTCAAGGAGAATAGCACTTGTTGTCTTAGACAGGTCAACATCTCGGACAGTGTAATAGTAGTACATATACAAAACTCGGGTGACAAGTCGCGATCTCACAGCTTTCTTGTCCTATCTCCATTTTAAAAAGTTTTAGTGTTTTACAGCACTTGCAACACAATAAGGTCAAATAAGTCCCGAAGACTAGAGGTGTTACAAGACATTAACAAACAAACAAAAAAGAAGAAGGAGAGATAAGGACCATAGATGTTTGACGGGAAAGAAGAAGCAAACTACACCAGAGCACTCGCCAACCACCCACGTTGTGACTTTGGGACAACCTTTGCATCTTTCAAAGCAGCATCTGTTACTGTTAACTAAAAAAACCCCACAAAAAACTGACTGGATCCTAACGTTTCATTTCAGTCATAATAATGATTAATTATAATGATATACGGAAAACGTTTTCAATTTTTAACCACAAAAAAAAAGAACTAAATCTATCCCATTTCACTTGGTAACAGCCCTCACCACTGCACACACTGACAAAACACGACTCATTAACACAACAAAAGAGACAACCCAAGAGACTGTCTCACACACACACACACGTACACACACACACACACACACAGACACACACACACACACAGGTGTTACGCTGCTGACAACACTGGGAGCTCACACTGGGAGCTCACACTGTGAGGTGGGGGGGAGGGAGGGTGTTTCCGCCCCGCCCCGTTGCCAACAGCCTACTGTCAGTGTCAGTGTCACCGTGTCAGTTTTAGTAAGAGTTTTACGGCACTTGTAACACAATAAGGTCATATAAATGCAGAAGAATGTTTTGTATTTTGTTTTAGTAGAGGTTTTACGGCGCTCGCAACTGCATCGTAAGGTCATATGAGCGCCAAGGGGTGGATGTCAACGGAGAAGTCCTTACAGGGTATTAAGATTTACTCTGCTCACCTCTCTAGCTTCAACAGCACAAAATCTGCTTCGACTATCAATGCAAAGATTAGAGGTGTTACAAGAGAGTAACAAACACAAAAAAGAAGGAGGGGAGATATAAGGACGATAAATGTTTGATAGTAAAGAAGAAGCAAACCACACTAGAGCACCCGCCAACCACCTACTCAAAGTGTCAGTGTCAGTGTCAGTAGCACAGTGTCAGTGTCAGTAGCACAGTGTCAGTGCCACTCAAAGTGTCAGTACCACAGTGTCAGTGTCACTCAAAGTGTCAGTGTCAGTATCACAGTGTCAGTGACAGTACCACAGTGACAGTACCACAAGGACTCACCATAGAGGCCGTGCACGGGAACACAGTCCTGTCCTCCACCTCGGACTGACAGTTGAGCAGCTGCACCGACAGTTTCCCCAGCTCTTCTTCTGACAGCTCTCCACATTTTGTCTTTAAGCTGTAAATCACCTGAAAAGACAAGGAGAAAAAACAGTCAGAATCAACTGGCAGTTGAAAAGTGCAAATGCCCTTTTATGCATCATACACTCAAATGCCCTTAATGTACTATACGCTCAAATGTCCTAATATATATGCACCAAAGCCCCCCCCCCCCCCCCCCCCCCCGTGTATCTCACTATTATTTGACATTTTACAAAGAGTTGAGATTTTTGTGAAAACAATTGAGTCTGCAACGGTTTTAATTAAATTAATGAGGCCGTATGTCGTGTTCTGCAGCCAACTATACAGTCAGTCATTTAGACCTCATTAGCAGTGCATCTGCCGCCGGGTGTGAAAATAAAAACTTACCGACAAGGCTTTAAGCCCCAGTATTTAAATGCCTAGCATTAAGCCTGAAAGCAATTTTCCAGACGAAGTTTTATTCAACTTGGTAGATTTGGGTACTGCAGTCAGATTCAACCGTCAGATATCCCAGACCCGGAGAACATTTCACTATACTCTGACTATCATATCTATGTGAGGCGTTGTGGTGATATCAAGCGCTCGTCAAAAAAATGAAATCAAAGAAATAGGCATTTTTTTGGCCAATGGGCAATTTTTTTCTCATTTTCTAATCTTTTTTGGCTCAGCATCTATAAAGTAGTCCATTTAAAAAACAATTCCGTGAGGATCTCACTGAAAAACACTGATTAAAGGCACAAAAAATAATAAATTTTCAGTTTCCAAGAAGGCTATGGAAGTTATAAAACTTTGGCAGCCATTCTCTCGCTAATTTTATCTCTGAAACCAGGCGACCCTGACCTTGTTCAATAGCAAATACATGTATTTCGACTTCTATTTATAACACAGATGGATAATTTTTTCATCAAAAGGAAAGCTCATGAACAGGCTTTAAGATGATACCAAAAAATAACCCCATATACCCAAAAATAGACAAGAGCCTGATTCCACCACGTCGTGACACACATATTTAAAGATTCGTTTGAAATCCTCATCTGAGCCTATATATATATATATATAAAATATGTGTGTGCTTTATTTTCTACGTAACTTCACTACCCAGCGTGACTGATCTCTATACTGACATTGGCATTGCCAGAAGAGACGCTGTTGACCAAAACAAACATGGTTCACCCCCTTGAGACCGATTGTAGTAGTCACACAGGGTAAAATATTCGAAGGCTGAAAATAAAATATATCTATAGAATCTGTTTGTGGTGGTATTCTTTTACCTTCACTCCCGTCTCACACTTAGCAGCTAGGTGTCCATAAGCATTGATGCTCTGAACACGAATATCGTCTTCATCTCCGCCATAAATTAATAGTACTGTAAAAAATATTTGATAGTTTTTCATCGAGCTATATCCCAACAAGCCTAATAACGTAAGTTAATTTCCGGTTCCACATTTTGAACTAATTGGGGGGTGGTTAAGGGGGCGTGTCCTCCTGAAGTTGAAAAAAATCTGGGGAATTTAACCCATAATTTGATGTTTTGCAGCTAGGTTTGAAATTTTCTTAAATAATTGATTTGCGACAGTCTTAGTGGCTATGTCTTTTTTGTTTTGGTAAGTGTTTTACAGTGCTTGCAACTGAATACAGTCATATGAGCGCGCGGGACACATTAAACATTTTCAGTTTGGTAGCTGGTAGGATTTTTTAATTTGGCGCCGGTGGTGGCGAAGCCTACTCCTTTCGATTTTATTACCCCCAAGGGATCTTAAAGGTACACATGTTTAACTTGCACACTGGACCTTCAAGAATTTTCACCCTTATCTGAGAAGGCTAGATGTTTGATCTTACCTACCAGAAGATCAGGGGTGTGGCTGAAAGACAGCAATAAGAAGGAACCAAGGCATAGCAGTAGAAAGAATGCAGAAAGAGTCAGGAGCCCAAAGGAGAGGGCAAAGGGAAAAGGGGAGGGGGGGGGACGAAAGTGGAGATGAAAGCAGAAAACAGAACATTGTTAGAGAGTAGGAAAGGAGACGGTGAAAGAGAAAAATTTTAGAGGGGAAAATTTTTTGGCACTGTCAGGTTTCAAACCCGGGACCTATTGAATGTGAGGCAAATACCATCCTCTGGACCATGAGAGCCCCCCGCCTATATGTCTGACCTGCAGCAAAAAATACTAGTTTGATCCCCAAAGCAGTGAAAATAAAAAATGTACCTTTTTAATTTTTAGTGAGTTTTGAGTACAAGTAAAATGACAGCAACAGAACAGAATTACAGAAAATAGAAAACAAGCAATAATTATAAATTATAATGACAAGGGAAACCAGAGGATGAAGTTTACTACCCGTATGATGTCAAACCAAATCTGACTCTAAAGCTTCACTATCACTTCTGGAAAATAGCCATTTGCTGGTAGAACTGGTAGACTACTACTTCACTAATATCAACTATTACATTATACAGAGGTCTTTGTCTAATATCCCTGAGACGGGAGCAAGAAAAAATGTGGGATTTTAGGCTAACATGATCTTAGCCAACACACCAGGTGAGGAATCCACAGTGACCCATGAATGTTCAGGCCCACAACCGGTAAAATGGTCTCCCTTTCCTCTAAAATGAACTGACATGACCCGTGGGTGGGTCTATGACTTATGGCAAGCAAAGAGTGGTCAACCTTGATGACCAAACACAGTGGTGAAAAGTATGCCATTTTCAATCCACAAATCCTATCATAACTCTAAGATCTACGCTTAAAATAAATCCAGCTGCTCCTCCCCTTTACATTTGACCTGTCCAAAATTTAAAGCTTTCCATCTTTCACCGAGTACTCCCACCTTTTACATTACACACCAATTAGAATTTAGCCTTTTTTGTAAATTTGGGAGTAGAGACAATTGCTGAGTGCATTGATTAGGGAAGAGTTGGGTTCGATGTGATCTCACCTGGAGCAAACTTGTAGGCCTTACCTACCCAGGGCTGACAGGTCATGTATAAGTTTACGCGCAGAGTTCAGACATGAGTGCGATGTTTGGGGAAAACAAACCCGTCTGGGGTAGCAATGTGATCACATTCATGAGAGTGGCTGATCTGTGACGCAATGGGCAGTTCAATTATCACAGATTTTCACCCTCGATTGATCTGCTGTGCCTGCTTGGGTTTGTGTTCTCTGTAAATTATGAAGAGGCATAAAACTTATTGGCGAGCTGATTTTAGAAAAAACGCAGTGACTACGTTCACAGCGCCATGAATGTAGATCCGCCATGCATGAATGTAGATCTATCTAGATCTAGTTCGCAGGCTTCGTTCATGGCAACCTGAATGTAGTTTGCAGGCTTCGTTCATGGCAACCTGAATGTAGTTTGCAGGCTTCGTTCATGGCAACCTGAATGTAGTTTGCAGGCTATGATTTGCAACATAAATGGAGTCCAATTTGTGTCCAGCAGACAAAACAAACTAAATAGTGAACCGAGATCATAGATGGTGGTAGGATCTCAGGCTCAGGTGGAGACTACTGTGTCATTACTATCGAAGTGATTATTCGGACTCGAGTCCGAATATGAAAAAATGTTATTCGGACTCTGATTCTTGACCAGCATGACATCACCTCCGACTTCCTGTGACTCGTGA